GCTTGGCGTAGGACATCCATCTTTCCACACTCATTGACTTTTTCGCAACTTACACAATCTAGCCAACTGACTTGCGAAATAAAAAAAATCACTCGAGTGCTTCAAAGAATGTAAAAAAACTAGAATTTTTCAAATAATTATTATTTTTGTATGGAAAAATCTGAAAAATGTCACTGCAGTGTAAATTATGATCCAGGGGTGAGGTATGGGGGCGTCACCCCTTGCTWAATTCTGCTTTCATATTCGGGCTCATGTAGCGCACGGAGACTGTAACAGCTACTAGTTTAATCAATCTAATAGATCGGATTCAACGCTACCAATAACTCAAGAGTGTAGTAATGTCTATGGGAGCTTCTAAAGCGTAGGCCATAAGGCCGAGAATTGGGGTAATAAATCGGTAAATATGGATCGGTCATATATTATCATAAAACGTCATTTAGTAGATTTATTAAATCATCTTTCCTAACTGAATCTGGTTATGCGAGGTAATCATTTTTAAAAGATACTTATGGCCATTTGTACTTTTTATAATTCGATTGATTTCAGATGGAGGGTTTTATATCGCCTATGAAGCTATAAATTTTATTTTTAGATTTTCAATGATCACCTATTTTATTTTTGAATTAATAGAATAAATAAAATTTATGAGAGAACAACAATTGATGCTTTTCGTTATTATTTTTCGTATCGACAAATTTCAATTTTTGTGGAATATTGCAATAAATAAAAGAGAATTCTAAAATAGCTATTTATTTTACACTTCATTAAAAACATTTTTATCAATAAGTAGAAGGTTTAGTACCAAATTTTGCTTGTGGATAATGCGGCTTTAATTATGAGGGACGTTATATCTTGTTTTCTTACTATTGTATGCGGAAGATTTATGTACTTCCATGCCATGGAACGAAATGTTTAGATTCATTTACTTGGTGGTGAGTAGTTTTTAATTTTGTGAGTTGTGTTTTTGAAGAGCGAGTTTTTTRCTATGTAGCAACGACAATTGAGCGAATTGTGTCATTTGAAAAAATTTGTCCCAGCGCGATGTAAATTGTAATATTATAAATATACTATAAATAACGTAATAATGTTCAGCAGTAAAATAGGTAAATAAAAAGCCGATTTGTGTTTTAAAAAATGAGTGGCCTCTTGTCTAGCAAAATTTGGCACTTGTTTGTTGCACAGTTTAAGTATTTAATAATAGTTTGGTTGTCATTTTTGCATTAAGGAACATTGTTTTTGTTCAGTAAAGACTAAATAAGAGCGGTGCAGAGTTGCTGTTGGAATTTTGACTAATTGTTTGAGATTTCCATATGAATGAGATAATGAAATATGGTAACATTAATATGGATATATGCTCGAAAGCGAACTGTAAGCAGTCCGTGTTGACCCAGCCCTTGCCTCTTCACCCTTAACCATCCCCACATAAAGTCGAATTTTCCGAAAACGGCAATCTCTATGTATGAGATTTTCGTTAATTTGCATAAAATGTGTCTCACTGATTCATATATCTTATTGTGTTTGATATATGATTTCTGCTCTCTCCTGTTTAAATTTCAATTTTGCACCGAAATATGCCCCACCAACAACAAACGATTTGTTATTTCCGAATTAACCGGGCTTTCTCATCATCGCTCTTGTCGGCGACTGTACTTATGATAAATACTGCAATAAGTCAGATTTGCTTTTGTATTATTTTAAATAAAAACGTTATTTGTGGGGACGGTAAGTATGTAAATGAAAATCCGCACTTGTGGGTGCGGCCGGCACGGGTCACTTGATATAGGAGTTATATTGAAAGGAAACCGGCTCAATAATTTAAAGAGTACAATGGCAGCAGGAAAGCACATGTTAAGTTTAGTTTGTTAATTACGACGTCACACACAATGGTGGCGCTTCCGCGCCAACCGCTCCCGGAAATGTGCTGCTCGTTGGTGCTCTGTTTCAAACTCTCGCCGTGCCGCCCCCACCAACGCGTTGGGACCCTGTACACAAAGCTTTTACCGAGCTTTTCATTCTTAGCAACAACCACGCCAACTAAATGTTCAAATGCAACTTTCAGCATTTTGCAGATTGTTCGCAGGAAAAGTTGATAGTTGTTTTGCAGGAAAAGTTAACAAAGACACTGTCCTCGAGTAGCTTATGTTTTATAAATAAACATTTGCTTTTGCTTGCAAGTCTAAAATTAAAAAAAAATAAATTTAACCTTTCTTAATTTTATGTTATCGATATTTCTACTCCTCATAGAAATAACGGGTCTTTTTAAAATTCAATGTCGCAGTTGGCCGTGACAAGCTTGTTGTTAACACATTATGAACACATAAACAAACCAACATAGCCTTACAATTACAATTTTAGTAGTATGCACAAAGCTAACCATCTTCATAATCTTAATCTTGGTAATCTTGATGGGTTCGTTCATAATCAATTTTGCAAAACCAACTGCGACGTCGAATTTTAAAAAAGACCCGATATTATTTGTTTTACGCAATATTGTTTCTGTCAACTTGTAAAAATACTTTAAACTTAACACCCAGGCGAGAGTATGGGTTTAAGAAAATTTTCCACTAACTATGGAAGTTTAAGAGATGTTTTTTTTTGTTTCATTGGCTGTTGATAGTTTGATATGGTAGCACTAAACTTGACTTGAAATTGAAAATTATGTGCATTACCTACTTTGAGATATAAATAAAAATTTAAGCCAAAAGTGCATTGCGTAGAGCACCGCCTCCTTAATCAAATGTATCAATATCCCGCCTGAGCATTTCGTAAAAAATGCATTGGAGCAGTGATTCCGATTTTGTCTTAGTTACGGGGGCTACTAAGAAAAAACTAAATGATTTTTAATTATTAACAAAAAATAACGCAATTAATAAATCCTGAGAAGGAAGGAAGGATACAACAAAACAAGATACGCCAGGGAGAATTGATATTATGAGGTTGAACCCTTTAAGCTAAAAAACTGGATATGTCAAAAAATTTCCACAGATTAAAGCGCCAACGGGAATCAGTTGAACTTACAAAATGCCCAGGCGAGAAAAAGATTATTTCTATGGAGACGGCGATGGCGTAGAGTTACCCGCAGGTCCTGGTAATAATGCGCGATCTATGGGGTAATGAGGTTTATGGAATATGTTGTATTAGGTATAGAAAAGAATGTTTCAAACTATTTTTAAATAAAATTTAATTTATTAATTTAGGAGTTTATACAGGGTGCTGCATTTTGGATGTCCGAATAGGGAATCTCCGAAACTAAGAGGTTTAGCCAAAAACGAGTAATACATTCTGGGGCTCATTTTTTGAGAAAATAATATTGGTGAAAACCGCATCTTGCTATCGTCTTTTGTTCTCGACTTACAGACAAAAGTTGACATTTTGGCGAAATCTAAAAAAATTCATATCTTCGTTATTATAGAAGATACGGATTTGAAATAAAGACATTATACAGGCACTTTTTTACGAGGAATTTAATAATGTGGCAAACATTTTTTTTTCAGTTATAAGTTTAGCCGWAATAAAATAAACTTGTATTTTTTTAAATGGGAATCATAGATGGCTATGTCATTTTTAGAAAGCTTGTTTTTTCTTATCAAAAAAATATATATTTGTAACAAATTTAACATATTTTTAGCAAAAAATTATCTTTGATTTTTGTTCGCAGTTGGCCATAAAAAATGTTGCATCTCAAAAAAGGATTTAAACTATATTATTCAACCAGTGTCACTATAAAAGAGTTTTCTAAGTATTAAGTAACGAAAAAAATGCAAAAATAAATCGTAAATCAACTTATTGGCGACTAATAACATTTCGTTGTTTTTAAACAAGCTAACATTACCATTGTAACTTCTAGTGATACATAGAGTGTTGTAAAAAAAAGCCGCTTTAATTCTTTAATAAAATAAATTTTATTTGACACAAAAATGACGATATGGCTATTCAAATACCCAAATTCCGTCTATGTGGAACGTTATCATACCTCCAGTAGATCATCAAAAAAATGTTTTTTCTAATTGTGTTGACTGCTGACACCTTTGTTTTTCCTATTTTTGGATTTCTTAAAAATATGTAATAATTTATTCTGAGGCGCTCGCATATTTGTTCAATACTTCTATTGAACTTCTATTGAATTTCTATTGAAATTAAATTTTTATAATTTTATCTATTTTACTATTTTACAGTTCACAAAACTCTTATTTATTATTATTTATACATTTGAAGTGAAAGAGTTTTTCCATGGCCAACTATTATCAATCAAAATATGTATTTCAGTTTTTAAGTGTAGTTATAAAAAAAATATTCTGTAACAAATATTTATTGTTTAAATCAAAAAAAAATAGGTTTTTCAAAATTGCCATAGCCGCCTATGATTTCCATTAAAAAATACAAGTTTATCTTATTACGGCTAAACTAATAATTGAAAAAAAATGTTAACTACATTATTAAATTCCTCGTAAAAAAGTGCCTGTATAATGTCTTTATTTCAAATCCGTATCTTCTATAATAACGAAGATATGAATTTTTTTAGATTTCGCCAAAATGTCAACTTATTTTCTACTATGTGAAAATGACATCGTATAAGCTGTAAAACGTTTTTAGGTTGTCACTTTTTATTGCAACTTTAAAAATGCAGAAATCTACGCGAACACTATTATAATGTGTAAAACTAAATGGCAGCATAAATAATTTTGCTTAAAAGGATTTAGGAAAAGCTACAGAAAGGTGCACAGAATAAAGCCACTCTCCTTCAACCTCCAAGTAATCTATAATATATCTACTTGAAGTATCTACTGATTTCTAATAATAAATACCCATCCATTTTTCGATAACACAACATGTTACAGATTTCTGTTTTGATTTGTTTTTTTTTTTTTTGAGAAAAATTTGAAAGCTTTTGGAGTTAATTTTATTAATGAATAGATAAATAAAACAATTACATGATATGACTACCTATATAAACGTTTGAACAAAATTAATTTTCTCGTGTTAATTAAGTTGCTTCGTGATGCAACATATAAACATGTTAAAATTTGCTACGGTTTTGGTATTTGTTGGAAATTTATAATTTGTAATACTAATAACATTTTATTTTCAGGTTATGCTTCTATTTGGTCACTTAATGGCGGTAATTTCAGATGATCTATCTGATGAATTCGTTGAAGAAATCTTGAAGATTGAAGATGTACAAGTAGAGTATCGTAATAAAAATATCAGATATATTTAATTAGTTGTAACTAAATTTGATTTTTTTTAAATCGGTGTTTTTAGAATGACCGTGAAACATGTTTTGAAGTTGTACATCCACCTAAATATTATGACGAAATTCCAAAGACGAAACTTATATACGCAGAGAAAATAAATAAAGAAGCAGGCATCAGAAAAGTTGTAGTTGTGAGTAGATATTTTTCAACAGTTGTTACAATTTTGAAATACTGTTTTTAGAAAGGGGGTATAATGTGCTCCGAAAAAATAGAAAGGATATTTACTGCGAATAGAGCTTCACCATTATTTGTAGATCAATATAAGTGTTTGGGCTGTCGAATGGTTAGTCATCCTTATTAAAATAAAAGACATTAAATTTTTTTTTAGAACACAAATACGAATGGTGTTGCAAGAAATTACACCGCAAAGCACTATTTTCACATTCCCTGTACTACGTGTTCTACGTGTTATGGTAAATGCAAGGGTAATTGTTACAAAATGTGCTCAATTGACGTACTAGCTGGATGCGAAATTGTAACAAAGTAAATGTATTACAAGTAATCTCGTATATTATAAGTTCAGCAGTAAAGTAAATAAAATGCAAGGAGATATATGTGTTTTTATAACAAACAACCTCTTATTTCTTCAGATTTGTTATTTGATATTTTTAATAAAAATGGTTAACTACTACAAAGGTTTTAGAAAGTGACAACGTTTGATAAAAGTTAAAAGAAATATGTATGTTTCTCGAGAAAAAATAATATCACTACGTCTCGATTGTGTATACAAATTTTATAAAATGCCATAGCAAATTTTCTATATCTTCATCATTATCACCCAAAATCCCAATTCGCTTCGCCCCATTCGAAACTAGTGTAGTGCAAATCTGTTCCTAGCAACACACCCTGTAACAAAAACAGCGTCACGTGCCTGTCTGTGACCAATCGTGTTGTATTGTGTCGACGCTGAGCCAATCACAATCGATTCGCTTCGGCTCGTAAGCGCGGCCTATTTGAATACTCCGTAACACGCGATTACATGGGAGCCGAATTCAGCAAATTATGATGTTGGCAATCTGACATGGGAACTCTGAAAAAAATCTTCTTGACGTTTGATATCTCAGCATATTGGATGTCGGCAACTGTTCGCAACTTAATGTCGTGTTGCTAATGAGAAGGCCGCACGTCGATTCCTCATCCGCCAGACCGGAAACGCTTGATTCAATTATTTAACCCTCTCTTAAACAATAGGTGGCTGTGAAATGAAGTGATCATTTTATAATGTTTGAATCCCGGTAACATGATTTGGAATTAATGGTCTGCGAATGCTGTGATAAGCGAGTTGCATTCGGCGATACTCGCTTTCAACCACCGTCCCCGATCACCCCCGAAACACGCCGCGCTGTAAATATTTAAATGCAGTTTTATTTGTGTTGTCATGATAAGGCCGGCATTGTTTCAATTTTTSGTGGCGAGGAAAAATGAAATCTATCCGGGCTGTGGACTGCATTTTTTCTTATTGAAGCCTTAAACACTTAAGTACTTTCGAATAGGGCAGGGTGATTAGCCTGCTTACGTCACACCCTTCTCATCGCGCCTGCTGGATTTAATAAATCAGTAATTACACTTATCTAATCTTCTTGTTCGAATGCGCTCATTGGGATTTTCATTTCAATTCGATTTACGAGACGCTGGAGTTTAATCTCGTTTTAAAATCWATCGAAATTGTTGTTTACCTAAACAACCGATGATTGTGACATCGACAACATCAATATTAATGTGGATATTTTATGCTAGGATCAACAGATAAAGAGATAATACAGATTTCGAAAGGTTTAATTAAATTTCATCACAAATGCAAAAAATTAAACAAAATCTCGCATATGCCGGGCTTATGCCAAATTCCACCAGTTTTGTCATGAAACTTAATTAGTCGAAACTGAATTCATTTTCATGTTAACAAAAGTATTACAATGTAAGATGCTCCTACATATTTTCAATTAACATTGTAATTTTAAACTTAGATATTGATTTTAAAAAACTACGATGTTTTTTTTAATATAGATTTTAGAACGATTCAACAAAAACTAAAATAAAGTATTTTAAAACGTAAAACATATTTTTTGTATTGATACTCGATAAATAATCGATTACCTATACTAGGTGCATCTGATACTAAACGTTTATCAATTATATTTCTTTAGATTTATTTATTGCAAAACTGTTATTCGTTGAGTAAGCATTTGACACTAAACGTTTTTTTTTCTTATTTCTTAAACCTTAGATATTGAAAAAACTGTTATTTGCTAAGTAAGTTAAGTTTTCTAGATTTAGGATTGCAATGGGTATACAGGGTGTTTCACATAACTTTACGAGGCTTGCGCCTAATGTACGCACCCAAATATACAAAAGTCACAGAACACTAGTTACAAAAAACACTAATTTAATTATTTAACTTTTGGAAACCCATGACAGTAGTTGTCAAACTAATCACTGTTTCATTAATAGTCATAAACTGCAGTTTTTCAGAAACAATTATCATTTGTTCTACCAAGAGACGGCATGAATATGATTGTAGTTTATCTATCTTAATCACTAACTAACTAAAAACGTTGTAATTTTTGAAAAGGTAAACAAACTAGAGAAGATTATCCAATTTTTCAAATTTTGTAATCGAGTTCGTATCGGAATATGTATTATTGATTGCATCTTACAGGCGCAGGCCTCGTAAAATTATGTGAAACGTATTTTTAATTTATTGTAAGGCAATAAACATTTCTTATAATTATTTAATCTAAAGTATTTTAGGTGTAAATTTCATTAACTGTGAAATCTCTAGTAAAAGCAGTTTTTTTTCTAAAATGATAGTACATAATTTCATAGTTTTGCTAATGATAAATAAATAAATTGGTCATATTATTTATATTTAGTTGGGTTAAAATACAGAAACGTGCTCCTCCCATGGTTTATACTGCAGAAGTGCTATCATTTTTCAGCCCAAGACTAAAAACAAAACAAAATGTTACAGTCGGCGATTAATTTTAAAATTTTTATGCCTCGCGAATTTACCTAATACAAGTTCTTTAAAATAATCCTTTAAATTTATCTATTTAAAGTATGATAACAATTGATAAAAAGTTAGTACCGATAAAAAATATGTCAATATGGACTAGCTAAAAATAACTAACTTAAAATTATTATTGCGCTTCGTGGAAAGGATAACTTGAATTATGTCTGGTTATTTGCGTATCGCCCCTGTGTCGATCGGTAGACTACTTTTTGTAATACCAAAAAATTTTAGCAAAATAATTCAAACTTATTATAGTGTCAAATAATCTCAGCAGGTAGTTGTTCGAGTGTGCCATTTGCTAGGCTGTTACCGTTGCCATAACAAACACGAAGAGAGTACGGATATGACAAATCAAATGTCACGATAAAAAAATTGTCAACGCTTCTTAATACCTGTGTTTGTATTTATGTAAAAATAGAAAAAATAAATTAAAAGCAAGGTAACAAACAGCTTATGTCTGTTTTTAAAATGTTTGTAAAAGATTTTTTTTTAAATACCTACGTATGTAACAAAATTCGACGTTGCAGTTGGCCGTGGCAAGCTCGTTGTGAACACACCATGAAYACACAAACAAATCAAACAATTTTAGTACCTAGTATATACACAAAGTTAACCATCTTTATAATCTTAATCTTGGTGGGTTCGTTCACAATCAACTTTGCAAAGCCGACWTTGACGTCGAATATATGATGTATTTTTTTAAGTTAATAAAATCTGGGAGATACAGAATTATATTTAAAATTGTTTTTTAAAGCTTGAATAATTTATTTGTATTATTATTATTATTTACGTACAAATAAAAAATCTACGAAAATTAACATTAAATTAATGTAGGAACATTAAATCAAATGTCAATGTTCTATATTTCGATAGTAAAAGTTTATTGTACTACTTTGTTTCTTTAATTACAAATTATTACATGCATTCGAAGTTAATTTGTAGAAGTTTTAGGAGTAAAAAAATTATTATTCCCTTTTTCTTCTACATTTATGATTAGATCGAGAAAAAAAAAACAAAATATTTTTTTTCTTTTGGTATTTAGTTAACCTTTTTGTAAATAATCAAACTTTTAACTTAATAAAAAAGTACAAGCTTTAATATTAGATTGATTGAAATATACCTTCATTGTGTTCTTTAAATAAAAAGTAACAACCTGTTTCTGCTATAAGCTAGATTATCAATAAAACACTAGTAGAGTAATTGAAATTTTTATTTATAATTCATATTCGATAATATTGCACAACCAAAATTTTAACAAAATCAACAAATTATAATTTTATTTTACATATTTACACGTAAAACTTCTATAATTACATAATTATTGCTATAAGTAATGTTTTCGAAAAAATGAACACGCGTTGTTCATGCAACTGAACGACTCTTCTAAAACATCGCTTTAGGAACAAATTACTTTTTGACATCYCCATCTTCCTCATCTTTATCTTGATGTGCGGTCATGTGCCTCGTCAGATGATGCCTTTCCCGGAACGACTCTGAGCAAACCGGACACTTGAGCTTTTCCTCCCTCCTTCTCTTGTGCATATCAACCGAATCATTCTTATGATGCGATCTCATATGATAGACCAAATCGGACGTCATCCGAAACGAAATATTGCATTTGGCACAGACATTTTGCGCCGGCAGAGACAACGCCGCCAACGACGGCGGCAGAAGTGAGGTTAAAATCGCCGCAGCGGGGTTTCTTATCTCAGGGGTGGCGAGTTTTAACATCTCCTGATTAGGAAATTGCTGGTAATTGTAGGGGAGGTCAGGCCGGTACATCGGCCGCATTTTCGAAAAGTTGGGTTGAATCAACTCCGGGTTTTTCATCAGGAATGGGTTTTCCAGATTTGATCCGGGCGCGAAGTTTTCCGGGAGAAAAGAGTTCTGATATGCATTGATTTGTTGGGTTTTGAAAAGCGTGTTTTGATAGGACCGGTTGATAATTGGAGGGGAAGGACTGAGGGAGTTTTGGTAACTCAGGTCCGGACTTATAGAAAGATTGGGGCTCAAACGCAAGTCTTTCGAAGCTAGGTTTACCTTAGTGAAAGCACTTTTTTGCTCGGATGAACTCGGGTCAGTCTTGCCTCTCAACTCGTCCAAATTTCTCGTTTTGATCAAATTGGGGTCGTCAAAAATTTGCTGTTTTTGGGTGAAATACTTGTGGTGTGTCCTTACAAAATCCTGGTTGTTTCCGACTTCAATTTCCTCGTCTTCGTCCACACTTTCATTGTTGTTATACGAAACTTCTGCGATTTTTTCGTAGTCGGGTCTCGGTATTTTACTTTGCTTTTGCTTGAGCTTATCGTCTGGCAACATCAAAAAAGCGACATCAAAGGGTCTCTTGACGACTTTGATCGGCGTAACCTCGGTCTGCTCTTCACATTTTGTGTTAATTACGTCACTTTTTAATTCAACTTTTCTGTTACTTACATCCATTGTCATTTTTATTCAAACACACACTATCACGTCAACGCACACTTTGCTRAACTAGTAACAATGTGTCCTCTTTGGCGGCACAATGCATAATGTGGAAAAACATACTCCCTACGTCCAAATATTGTTAGATTTTACTACCTACCCTTAAAAGCAGCTGGGTTAAAAGTGCGTCCCTCTCTTTTCGATGAGAAGGATGGATATACGGRATAAGTGAACAGAGGAAAAGGACGAAAGAGAGATGTTTAGAAAAGCGTATTTCCTACGTAAYACTCAAACCTTCCTATAGGGGTGAACGTAAGTTTCGGGGAACAGTCAGACCAATAGAGTTTTAGGGAGAGGCGGAGCTTTCAAATACGTTCATCCAATACGGTTTTCAATGTATGAGAACTTAGAATGTGAAGTTCAGTTCTGTATACTGTTCGAAAACGTATTCGACAAACACAGATTGCGCGGTTAATGAAATTTYAGATTTTTTAAAGGCATTTATTAAATATTTATATATCTACACACATAATTTCAGAATTTTCACAGTAGGTACGAGTAGGAACAGAGTTCGGAGATTCAAAATAAGAAAATAATTAAAGTAGATAAAGATATTTCTTTAATTTTTTTACTATTGCTTTAAAAACTTCAAAAGTGTATTCGTAACAAAATTTAAACGAGAAGTGCGATTTTAGATATTTTATGAAAAATTGTAAACCGATCTAAACATAAATTTTTTATACTTAATATTTTAGTAAATACAATATGAATGTGACTGACTCATCTGCACAAGATTTTTAATATTTTTATTTAAAAATCAACTTTAAAAAAACTTTAACAGTGATAATATACAACAACTAGTATAATTTAGTTATGTTAAGCCGAAATTATAAAAAAAATTGAAAAAAGGGACAATGTGCTATTTTTTTTAAATATCTGGTTGAGTTTGCTATCAAATGATTAGGGGTAGTTWTTGATTTCTTGAAATAACTTTATTTTTTGTTTCTTCATTTCAGTTTTTTATTTTCCTATAGCTCATAACTCATGTAAAAAATATCACTAGTAGAACTGAAAACTCTTTAAGTTGTCAAATTTAAAACAAAAAGATGAGAATAATTAAGTTTTTATTTCTAAGCATTTAGGTTTTGCACTTTTCATATTTGATAAGTTTACTTACAAGCTTAACGATATATCTAAACAAAAAATCAAATTATAATAATATATACAACATGAAGTTATAAACATTCATTGGATTCGAACGTTTTTCTTTCCTTTTTTATTTCTCAAATACATATTTACAGCTGTCAAAAATTGTAATGTTTTGTCAATAATATGTTCTTTTCTTTATAATCAATAAGCAACGTGATAATCACAAAACATTTTTGAAAAGAAAAAATGAATTTTTTGTTAAAATTTTTTTCAGAGTTCATATTTATGGTATTTATTTTTGCCTAAACTTTTCGCTGTAGCTAATCCTCATAATCTCTCCACAAATACAAACATCGTGCTCCTATTCGATACTTATTAGGGGAAGTTAGAAGAGACACCTGCTATGTGGTGTATCACATATGGTCCAGGACAGTGTCAATAGCCGAACCCCCAACTGAGCCAAAGCTGTCCGTATTCGAACATATTGTAAAGTATTTAGATCTCCTATTATCAAGTTGGCTTATTGAAAAAACTCGATCGATGAATTGCGTCACCACCCGCAGAACACTTAAAACCCCTGATTCAAATTAATGATCTGGGCAATAATTTTTGAACCGACTTTTAAAAACTCCATCTTCACCATTAGCGATGAAATCTTTAATCAATTTATATCTTGGTCCAAATTGCGATTTCATTCCTGTGATTAATGGCACACGACTTACTATATGTTACTAAACTCACACCATAAGTTAATCAAGCAAAAGAATCCATCGCGGTTTGCTTTTTTTCTTTTTGTTCTTCGTATCGCCCCATTAATTCTCCCGATAAGCTGTCACTCATCACAAAAGCGCCTGAAACAAAAGAGATTTCCATTTTTCTGTGCCAAATTCGGTAATGACCTCTTGCATCTATGATGAAGTGCCCCAGACAAAAAGCAGGTTGTTAGTGGGGTGGCTTCGTATTTGAGCAACATATGGACAAGTGGTATTATGTATAACCCTAGAGACCTGTCAAAACCTATTTATACGCTATACAATACATATATGCCGGCCGTATCTAACCCTCATCCCCAGATTGAAAAGTGCCCTCGAGTGTGACTGCTAGCAAAAACAAGCGCTCGCTTTGGCCAAAAGCAGCGTCTTCGTTTCAAGTTGGTTCTTTGGAGAAATGCGAGTCCAGAGGGTATCGCACAAAAGTGATTTGCTGTGTTTTACTCTTGGACATGACAATGTGATCGATGAGAAGGCCAACGAGGTCACATGTGCTTATAATTGCTTATAAGCTCCAGAGAGTTTTCAGGGGAGCCAAAGGTGACGCAAAATGCTATAAGTCGCAGTCACGTATAAGAAGGTCCATTTGAAACGAATCACTTCCATCTTTTTCCAGAAAAAAAAACAAAATTCCATCATTTTTTAAGACATCTTTTTCTTTATAACATACTTTAAAGTACTTTAAAGGTAAAACATAGGTAGCTACAAATGAACAAAAATTTTAAGTAAAAACCCATCTAAGTGTAAAATTAAATTTAATACTTAGTTGATTACCATATAACTTATAAATTAATTAAAATAAATACCATAACATTATTATCTTTAAAAATAGTTATATTTATTATATTTACAAGACGATAAAGAAATTATTTATCTACTAGTGAAAAGGTTAAGTTTACGAGTGACGAAGTCACAAGTGGAGTTTTTTACGACTAGATAAACAATCTTTATCAGAATTTCTTGAATATAAACAGTACTACTTTATCTACTGAAATTAGTTGATAAAAGCACTCTTTAACATGAGCACAAAGTATATTTGTTAAATGCCTTTAAATTTTGAAATACGAGTTTACTTCTGTTTTAGAAATTTACAATATCCTCGTTTATTCTGAAAAATCTGCAATGMGCATGTTTAGGTCGATTGTTTATTCTTAATACAAAAGTAACTAAGTATATATTTTTTTAAATAAAACAACAGCTTACTTTTACCAAAAAAAAGCTAATCATACTGAGCGATATTATGAGTAGTGCAGAAATTTTAAAAAATCAATAGAACGTGTCTTATTCGAATATTGATAGTTTTTAAGATATAGAAGCACTAATAAAAATTGTAATCTAARATTTAAAAAAACTAAAATTATAGAAAAGAACCACAAAATTTTCTTTTGTTTAAAGAACAAAGAGGGATTTCCCATCAATTGTATGGATAAGTTAAAACTTACTCAAAAATTGTGTCCACATTTTCAAGAAAACTCATGTACTATTAGATAGCATTATAGTATACAGTGAGTGGCAAAATTTTATTAATCTTATTAAAACAGAAAATATTTTATAGCAAAAATGCACAAACAGGTAAAATTTTTTTAAATACACAATTTTCAACTTCATTTAAAATTTTACGCTTTTTGGTTTTTGAGTATTGACGTCATCGACATTTTTTTTAATAAAACCTTTATTTTTTTAGCCATGTCGATCTGTTGATTGTCGAAATGACAACACCAAAATAGTAAATATTACATAAAGTTTTCCAAAAAAAAAAAAAATAAATAATCTAAAAAATGAAATAATATCAACTAAGCACAAACATCAATTTTAAATCAACTTGTATTGAAAAAATAAATTGACCTATTCAAGCATTTTTGTTTCAAAAAAAATTCAGTATTAATAAATAAGATTATTCCATAATTTTGTCTCTCACTGTATAAATATAAATTTTAAATTAAAAAGATCTAATTTGTCCGTTTAAAAATATTTTTTAAGAAAACGAAACAGCTTTGAAGTCAAATTATTTTTGTCGAAATTGTCTTATATTTCTCGTCTCTAACTCTACATATCCTACCATCTATCCAGTAAATTAATTTCTCGTTCACTGTGCAGCCAAGTATAGAAGCTCTGTTGCGACAATATCTCAGCCTTCTTCGATTAGCACTTCTCCGGGGATTTAACCGGATTATGTGTTTTTACACCATCTGAGCTAAAAACAGGCAATTGACTTGAGATTTGTTTCTGTCATTTACGGTTCGCTTGACTTTCTTAAGCTTTGATCATTTCTTTTTTTCTTCTCTCTCCTATTCAAACTTTACACATTGTGGAAGTTTTTTGGTTTGTACAGTCAATTTAAGCTTATTTTTACGCTTCGGGCGGCCGAAGAGTATACAAAAGACCCCTAAAATTTTAATCCCGACGAATAGTTTCTAATACGAATCGTATAACTTGCACATATGTTCATGTATACGGAGGGAAATTATTTTAGAGCCATGGTTTAAATGACCACACGGCATAGTCGACAGGCCTAAATCAAACCTTTCTACCCTTCAGGTCTGAGTGCTGAGGGATTGCTAATTCCACCGGAGTTGGGAGTATTTATTCATTCCATTCAAAAGGATCAGGAACGGTTTCAATGAAGGGTGGCCGCCAGGGGCGGATCATTTTTTCGAATTTTTGTGGAAAATAATTATAAAGTTTCAAAACACTGTATATACTTAACTTTAAAAAATTGCAATAAGTGTAAGAATGATAAAATAAAATTCTACCCTTATTCCAAATTTTAATTCCCGATGTCCCACTTTTTGTTTTTTTTTTTTAAATAAATCTTTCAAAGTTTTTTGTACCTTGGACAAATTTTTGAATTTTTTGATCCGCCTATGGCGTTGTAATTCGCATAGTGAATTCATGAATAGCCCCAGCCCCAGTTTCACCATATGTTGATCTTGGCCGCGAACATTTGAACAGATGGGCCTTGTACGCCAAAAAGTCATTAGACGGATATTGTCCCTGATTGGCAAGTGCTTTTACCCAACACCACTTTATTAAAACCTTTAAGCCCATCCAAGACGCATAAGTAAAGAAACAAACATTCCTCGGAGAAAAGAAAGGAATTTCCGAGCAATGTTCGACCCCTACTTATGAATATAACATGTCTATTTGGCACCCTCAAAGTGTTACATATC